TGAGTTCGTTTGGTATTTTTTAATATGGACGAAACCTCCACATCTTGTGACCTCATTCCGCTGATCGCGTCATGCGCAATGACTATATACTTTATATAAGGCAACGCATCGCCTTATCACTAAAATACTGTCTAGGGGCGGCTTAGTTTAAACTTTCAACTTTGGCATATGAATAATTAATTAAAGCTTTCCCTGACCAATGGTATAGTAGTTTTTGCACACGGCAAACTCTTATGAATGAAACTATGAGGTAGTACTATGATACAGCCATTATGCAAGTGGCTGTGAATGGTTGCCAATGACAACGTGTTGCACACAGTAAATTCTGATCATTTATAATATGGATTCTACCGGGTTGTTAAAGCTCAAATTAAAACAATCCAGTTTAAATGTCTTCAAAATGCATTCTGAAAAGCAAGTTATCAAATATTTTGATGTAAATAGTGGTAATAAATTAATATTTCCTAAGTATCCGCAACTTACGCCATTAAAAAGGGGGCGTGGCCCACCCCATGGCAAAATTAGGTTGAGCGAACTGCATGACCTGCTGCGAACGCGTAGAAACATGGCGTCTCTCGTAAGACACATATCGCTGTGAAAATTGGCATACATGTACATCAATACATTCCCCAGATGCAAATAAATAGACACACACATCGGAAAATTAAAAACTCCGATTTTTCTGCCCCGATTTCTATTTCCGATACACAAAAAGTAGTAGTCTCCCTTGTTTCATCGAAGTATATAAAAAAGGACAAATTAAATCGTACTTTAAAAATTCATAACTTTAAAACTACAACAGCTAAAAATATGATTTTGGTATTATCATTCTTTAAAAAATTAGCTTTATTCTACTATGCCATTGGTTTATTTTTACAAAAAGTTTTAATTTTCTAATCAAAGTACCTACAACTGCCAGTATTTAATTAATAAAGAATACACGTAAGTTTACATGATAAAATACGAAAAGCGTTAAGAAATAATATACGCACCTGAACTCCACTTTTACCCAGTATGGTTTGTTAGAAATTCAATAAGTTAGACTAATATCAAATTACAATAACAGATAAGAATAATACTAATACTGTGGCCGATTTTCCGCCAACAAAAAAAAAAGAAAAGTAAAGGAACTTTAACTTTCAAACTTTCATCTTGATTGATGTCATGTTAATGATTATAGAACTATATTTAAAATAGAATTTAAAAATACCATAAAATTATAAACATAAACGTATTCTTACTTTCTTTCAGCTGTACGTCACATTTTTCTTCGCGTTTCTTCAGAGCTACATTAAAATCTTGGGTATTATTTCTTGAAAATATAGTACATTTCTAGTTTGATAATAATGGCGACAAAGATGTCAACCAACAGGAAGTATCCGTCATAACCAACCTCACGTGACCAGCCGGGTCTGAATAGCCCTTTGCGGCAATTGGTACTCGGATACCTATTAGCCACTTCGTTCTTATATAAAATAATATTATCAGCTTTTTGTGACGGTCAACTTTTTGTTCATAAAAATATTTTCTTAAATTCAATTCATTGATTAATGAAGGAATTTAACAAAATAAACAGTTTAAACACGAAATTAATAAATAAAAATACTATTCAGTTACAACTTAAAACAGTATTTGTATAAACACAACAAGGTCAAGAGACACCTAAATTCTTTGCTCTCTGTTGCAGAATGATGCAAAACTAAATTTAGGTTGCACCAAAATGCACCAGAACGTTCGTTGTTTTGTCGTGTTTCTTTTTTTCAGGTATGATCTTACTTTATTTTACTAATTTCCTACCAAAATGAATCACTGTATTATAAAATTGATCTGAAATTTTCTGAGGAAAGATTCAATGACCCCTCCCCCCTTCCAGACCCCAATTGCTGATTTACCCCACTCCCCCATGCCGATAAATATGACAATACGGGGGCAAAACTAAGTTGAGTCCAAAAGAAAAGAAAGGGCGTTTTTTTATAAACCGCAGTGAATTCGGGTTATGCGTGCCAAAATGCCACATTTACACACTGATAGATGCTTTGCCACAAACACCTGAAAAGAAACAATGATTATTAGGTATACGCTGAAACTGAACTCCTTGATTTTCAGTTTATCCAAAATTTCCCGGGGACTAGTCACCACACCTCCAAAATTTTGCTCGATTGTCCTGGTCACTGACGGTCACCTAGTGTCATAAGATAAGATAAGTTACACCCTGGGCGGGCCCAAGAATTTTGACGAATCCAACCACGATAAATCTCTGCAGTATGCCGAAAATCCCACCCCTCCATCAAATGAAAAAAAAAAAAGGGGGGGGGGTAAACAGCCCTATCCGCCAACCCTTCCTACTCCTACGCCACCGGAGCTGCCAACTCGAACATCTGAAATTCCGCCCCCCCCCCTTTTTTTTTTAAAGAAAAAAAAAAAGGGGGGGGGGTAAACAGCCCTATCCGCCAACCCTTCCTCCTCCTCCGCCACCGGAGCTGCCAACTCGAACATCTGAAATTCCGCCCCCCCCCCTTTTTTTTTTCCCGTAGCAAATCTTTTGAAAGAAAGACTTGTAAGCACGATGAATTTCCCTGACCCCCATCAGCTCAGTTTCTCTGCTGTGAATAATCATGTGTCGCTTTTCAAACTCCTGTCCCACAATTACCAAAGCCACCTCACCTGTTGTCAGGGCGTCTTATCAACCCCCTATGTCAAACTACAATTTTTCTGTCAGCATGAATCACGGTATTAAATTTCAATCCTTGCGGAAAGTTTTCCATTGCTGTTTTTAAAATAGTTTATGTATGGCTTGTGATCATGCAGTAACTTGACAGACATCAAAGCAATACGACAGGAATGAGGTTAGACTGAATTTTGGCCACTTTTTTCATCATTGCCAACAATTTTGTTGAGAAGAAGATAATGTACTCACCATTCTGTGATAAACGTGCCACTGACCCTTGAAAGTAGACATACAATTTCCCTCCTTTATCTCCTTATCTCCAAAGGATTTCAATTGAAAACATCCATTATATTTTCTGTTTGTCAAAAATGATACTGAGGCTCAGTCATTCATTATTTCCACTCTTGAGCTTGTCTGTTGTCATGGTGAAGCAGACTTTGACAGGAAACTTTTGTACTGCAAGTGGTAGGCAGAGTGAATCATAGGAACTCGGGGTATTAAAACGGTTACAACCGCACCACATCCTGTGAAGATAGCTGCTTGAATGACATTTCTATGTCAGGCTTTAAGCCTGGTGACATTACACAATTTATGGGGGTATCAGATTGCGCATTGACTCCCTCAGATGTCCTGGAGAGTTCTGTCTAATGCCTCTAGACCCCTGTTGTGAGCCATGGTGCACTCATCCCAAACAACCATCTTGTACTCCCGAAGTACCTTAGCTGTATTACTCTGTTTCGAAAGGTTGCACAAAGTAGTCTCAGAGGGATTTAAGTAGATGGGGCAGTTTGAAGGCAGAGTGACCAGTCTTTCCACCGTTCAAACAAAGTTGCTGCCATAACATAAATAGCGATTTTCTATCTCTTACGCTATAAACCAACAGCTAAGTCACTGCGCACCGTGGTCGCTTCTATTGTAGTCTTTTGAGATGGGAATAGAAGACACTCCCTTCCCCAAGGGCAGATTTCAGATAAAGGATGATTTCCTTTGTACTAGCCGCAATGTTGTCTACACCATTGTTTGCACCCGCTGCCAAATTAATAACTATTGCTACGAGTACACCAATCACTTGTTTGTCACTAAATTTAGGGATAGAAGAAAGAGTTAAAAAACAACAACACCTCAATAATCTAAGATATCCTTTGGTTTGTTAAATTTTAAGCCCTCAGGCAACGGTAAGTTGCAAGACAGTATCTTCTATGATTGTACTTTTCACCAAAAGGATTGTGACGTTTAGGGTTACTGCTTGAAAACCTTTCTTCGTCTGTATATACAGAGTTGAGTTGCTCTGTCTACAATCATTAAGCTGTTACAAGTGTTTTTGCACAATTTTGTCAGAACGGCCCCGTGATCTAACAGATTAGATCAGCACATTGGCATCAAATGTTGTATTTTACTTGGTGAACCTGATTCCAAGACCCTTCTTGCTTTATACGTTGCGCTTAAATTTTTATATTTTTTTAAATGGCGGACCTAGGCTTACATGGATGATGTGGAAAAGATCTACAGCAGCTGGGTATCCAAGCATGGAAATGAAATGCATTAGTTAGGTCTGAATGGAAGGAAGTGGTGAGACAGGCCAAAACACTACATGTGGTTAACCCCACAGGGATGGATGGATTGAATGGCACAATGTCCCAGGGTTAAAGTAGTAACACTTCGATACTGTATTTGAAATCCAATTGGAAATGCATGTGGCACTGAGGAGCGTTCAATAAAACAAACCCATATGTGGTTGATTTTGATTTGAAGTTGGAATAGGTGCATGGATACATTAAAAAAAAGGACTGACGGATTGACATTATATTAGTTTTAACATCAAAATATGGGCAGTTGTTTTAGTTATGTGCTTGTCATTAGACTTGACTGAAAAAGCAGTGACGATTATCCTTCCTTGCTGGATGTACAATCTTTATCGCTGGGTTAGTACATTCTTCATCTTCTTCATGGCTAGGTCACAAATATGACTTTGGATCACCGAACAACTGCATATTCAAATTTCAACTGCATGTAGTTAATAACTGTGCCCCTTATATGTACTAGTAGTTAACAAGTACATGATATACAACAGTAGTTTGGCACCCAGCAGCCATAAAATTTGAATGTCCTAGTACCTCAGGGCATCAAATGCTTTCCTAAAGCCTGATCATCTATATCAACTGTGTCAGGGACAGGGTTTTTAAAGGCATGCCCTCTAAGTCAAATTTGAATTATATGCTTTCCTACAATAATATTCAATACAATATGGCACACCTTTCATTATTTAATGTTTAACAAAATATTAAAATAGAAAATAACACATCTTTCTATTCAAAGATTTCTTTAATTATTATTTTTTGTACAGATTTTCCCCAAACCCACACCCTACTAACATTTTACTATCTCAAAAATCCAACTGGCTTGACCTCTTGCCCTTCCTCTGTCATGAGAATATTCAACAAACATTTGTTTAGCTCAACTCCAACTTTTTTAGCACTCTGAAATAAAATTTATAATATTACTCTGTTAATTAAGAGGAGAAAACTTGTATGCCCACAAAAACACCATTCTGATACGTTACCAAATTAAAATTTTGCATGGAGTTAAAAAAACACAACTTGGGTGGTGTTAAAGTTAAAATAAAAGACATGTTATGTTTACATAATTATGTCATCATATTTTTTTATTTTTGTAAAAAAAAGGAAGACAAATTTGGAATCTTTTAAAATGAATAAGGTGTACTGCTAATATGCATAAATTAATAAGATTATTGAGAACCAAAGATTATAATCATAGACATTCCACCTCTATCATTTCTGAAATGCTGTCAGTGTCTAAACTTCCAGAGCCTTCTTTCTTCATAGCAGTAACTGTACCCTTTTCTGTGATCCCGAGCATTAATCTGAAAATATACAGTAATAAGACACAGTCACACCCACTTATCTCGATCTCGGTTATCTAGCCAATCTTGTTATGTCGAAATTTTTGAAGTGGAACCGCCAAATTCTTTCTTTGTCTTAGCATTTTCTCCTTGGTTTTGTAGATTCTTTTATGTCGTCGATCCCTGATATCTCGATCATAAAAGGTGGCCAAATTTGCCACTTAACCTCGGTTATCTCGATCCCCATGATCAATTGCTGGCTTTTGAAAATTATATACCACAGAAACGTGCCTACTTCAAACTGTAGTAATTGAAATGAAATGACAATATCATTGTCCGCGCAATTAACTTAACACAGCAAGAAGCAAGACTTGCATACAAAAGAGAGGGGTCATAGTTCAGCTCTATTTATAGTGAACCTGCTTGTCACTTAATACTTGAAAGGCTTTCACGCGTTCTTACACGTTGATTTTTTTTTAAAACCCAGAATCCATATTCGAATAAACTGAACTGGCGAATCCAGAGAGAGAGAAAATAAAAGAGCTCAAAAATATTTAGCCTCATGAATCCGGAATAATCCGGAAAAGTGGCACCCCACATATGCCTTGTGTTTTTAGCAAACATGTATGTACATTTTTATAGCATGCCGATGGTTTCATCAAAAAAATCGTGGTAACGCTGTTGTGTAAAAAAACAACTAAAAAATTCCATTTATAAATACACATCGTGTACATAAAAAAATTTCAAGCACATGTTAATATATTGCCGCCATATTGGTTTTCGGTTATCTCGGCGCTTTCTGGCAAAGCCAGAGACTGTCGACTTAACCGAGTTCGACTGTATTTACAATTAAATTTAAGCTATATTTTTTATCTAGTGAACCATAAGTTAATTGCTATGGTTGAAGATCTAGTTCTCATTGAGCTTATGACATTTTTAAATATATCACCAAGAATTAAAAAATATCATACCTGGCTAAACTACAGACCTCTTCTTTCTCGCTAGCATCTACTACATGGAAATGGCCAATCTGTAGATTGAAATAGATAGAAATGTACACAAGTTTATAAAGAACATTTTGTGATGACGCCTATATTTAGATCAGATTCTAAATTCCTTTGTTAAAGTTAAAGGGGTGGAAATGCCTAATTAAATTTTTATAAACGATTCAGTCTTTTTTTTCTCTTTCACACTGCAAGGTTAAATGGAGTGGATGTCAGTTTAAACAAAAACAGTCAAAGAAGAAAGGGTCTAGAGACAATGTTTAAAAATTAAATATGTTTATGAGATAGAGAAATACCGCTGAAGGCTCATTTATGTTACAACATGCAAAACATGTGCAACAGAGTAGCCTTTAAAAAATTGTAATACCAGTTAGTTTGAATTTAAATTAATTTCTGGAATTAAGTTACATACAAAAAAATGTTCATTCATTTCATTATTCATTAAAAAAAAGGTCTATTCATTCATACCTTATTGACTGTAACAATGATGGGGGCACCAGCAACATCAAGCCTTTTAAAATCAAAAGGATCATCTGACACGTCAAGCTCAATCCCACCCTCATCCTTTGTCATGGTCACATTGGGAATTCTGAGAACAACAACATGCATTAATAATAGGAAAAGAGTTGAATTAGATCTTCAACACTGTTGTAGCTTAAAAAAAACAAATCACTGTTGAAACTGGGCATCACAGATAAAAGATGCATTGAAATATAGAGTGTGATAGATCAAATGTTCAGGAGGTTCCTTGTAGTTTAAAGATATAAAGCTTTTAGAAGAAGAAGAGATAAGTCCTAAGCCTTCAAAAATAAAATAAGGTCCACATTTTAAAAAAATGTAAGTGAAATCTTATTTCAAAAGTAATAATTTAAAAATTAGTACCTTCAAATTTAGCTTTTAATTAGGCTGATTAAACTGAAATATATCATTATAAGAAATGAATTTTATTTGTTTACACTTAAATATGAATACCTTAGGTTAAAATGAATACCTTAGGTTAAAAAGCGCTGATTTAACTGCTATTGAAACAGCATCAAATAAATTTCCACCACACTCTAGTAACTGTAGGAAAAATAATTTTCTCGATCAATTCAATAATTGGGATGAGTAAATTTAACCAACACTTTTATTTTAAAGCAATAAATTAAAAACAAAAATGTGTCAAGATCCCAACAAATATGGTTAATAGCTTTTGCATGAGAAATAGTTAACTTTCAGTGTGTTCTTTTACAAACTTAAACACAAACTATTTTGTAAAATTAGTTGTATCCAGTCAAACATGATATTTAAAAAAAGAATAATCGTTCCTCGAAATGAAATAGTATATTTTTGAACATGTATTTAAAGAACATGACATTTCCAGTAATTTTTCATTAAGTTATCTGTTATTGATAAATTTCTCTACCAGAACATCAATGTAGAGAAGCCAGCACTGCTGACCAGGAAGGACACACAGAGAAGGATAATCAATAGCACTTGGGCAGCTGTAAGCCCGTGTCAACATTGCTGTAATCTCTGATGCCAGGCCTTCCCCACCGCGTCCCTCAAATGCTGGTGTTGCATTGGCAGAGCTGATGAAAAAGAAAATTGTAGGTACAAAAGAGTCCAAAATAATTTACTTTTATAGTGACACTGCTGAATGTAATAAAAATGGATAGTTAACAAAACCATTGAAAAATAGAAGTGAACAATTTTAACTACCGGTATGTATTAATTAATTTCAATAATAATCAAAGAATAATCCCAAGAGATAAAAATAGTCACTAAACAGATCAATAAATCTACTCATGCATTACATCATTTGACCTGACAATTTGGAAAAAAAATCAACACAATGAGAGTGCAGCATGTTGTGCAATGAGAGCTGGACTTACAAGTAAGATCCACTCAGGAATTATTATTGCTACAGGTATCACTAATAGTACATAGAAAAATAAAGGATAAATTGTGTAAAAAAAAATTGAAAAAGTTTTATATGAGGGAGTTAAACGGTAAAAACCTTTTAAAGAGTTTCAACAGTATTACTTTTCTTTAGCAGGGTGGACATCCTTCACTTGAGAATTATTATTTACAGATTGTAAAGGGAGGTTTTAAAATGAGAATTTATTCCTAATTAAAGTATTGGATAGACATACTTTGATTGAATACTAAATACTGATTTTTTTAACAGTAACATCCAGTATGGTAAAACACATCTTTTGAATGGTCAGTTACAGAATTAGAATTAGTTTATTCAGAAAGAAAGGAAATTCATTTTTGTGTTTCATAAGAAGGAATCAGATTATTTTACAAAGCATTTAACTAAAATATCAAAGATTTTTGTATGATGTGTCAAAAAGGGAAAATGCTGATAATAATAAAAAAACAAAAACATAAACAACCTAAAGAAAAAAGTAAAAATACAAAATTTTATGAGTGAAAAAACCTGTGTGTATAAATTTGGGCTTTATATATATATGGCAAGGTGCCACTAAATAGTAATAAGGTAACATTCTGAGTGTCACTTTGATAGATATGGTTAAACCCTAGGTTTACTTTAACACGTAAACAAACATCAAAATTAAAAGTAGTAAATGCTGTGTGCTGGGCCCTAGCCTCTTGTTTGGTCACTAATGAACGGTGAGTGACCATCGAGTGAAGCTGACATCATTGTTCCCCTGTGCCCTTTATCAGGTAGGCCTGATGTGAGCCACTAATTCTGAATTTATAAAGACGCCTTGTAGCAAAAAACATAAGTTCTTAGTTATTACACTGGTCTGACACTTCTTAAGCGAAACCCCCTTGCATCTGACATAGATTGGTAGCACCAAACTCTGTATTTCTCATATAATTTAAACTCCACAGCATCAAGTCTGCAATAATTAAATAATACTGTTGGATTATTTTATTTGGCCTTTGGATACTCGTGTTGGAACTACTATTATAATAAAGCATTGTTGCTCTTTAATTTCATTATTCAACATGATTATGGCTTGTTATAAAAAATATATTTAAGACCTCGTCATCCTACGACATGCTAATCAGTGCCGAAAAGACAAAACTGATGCCAAATAATACCACAGGCATCACCACTGAAATTAAGGTCGGGGAGGAAAGATTAGAGATTGTCGGCTGCTTCAAATACCTAGTCTCAGAAGAAGGCTTCAAGCCCGAACTGATGTCCAGGATTGCGCAGACTACAACAGCACTAAAGAAGCTCAAGAAAATATGGAATGACAAAAATATAGCCCCCAGCACCAAAATCAGGCTGATGCGCTCATTAGTCCTCTCCATTTTCCTGTATGCCTGCGAATCCTGGACATTAACAGCCAATCTTGAAAGGAAAATAAAGGCAATGGAGATGAGATGCTTCAGAAGCATTTTTGGCACCTTCTATAAGGACCATATCTCCAATGATACAGTGAAAGAAAGGGTTCGCCAGGCAATTGGGGAGTACGATGACCTACTAGTTACTGTGAAAAAACACAAACTACAATGGTACGGCCACGTAACAAGGAAACAAGGACTTGCCAAAGAAATATTGCAGGGCACCACAAGAGAAGGGATAAGAAGAGGAATACAAAGAAAAAGATGGGAGAATAACATCAAAGAGTGGACAGGACTAACACTGGGCGATGCAGTGCGCAGTGCTGAAGACAGAGAGGAATGAAGGAGGATGGTTCACATGTAATCTATGGCGCCCAACGGTCCAAGGACTGAGGGACATGAGGATGAGGAGGATTTAATGTAAGTTATGTTTGTTTGTCATCGTTTGAATACCGGTAAGCTGTTTAATCCAAAGTTATCCCACAAGTTGTTTTATAGCTAGTTACAGTGGCGTAGCTAGTGTTAGTGTCACCCAGTGCGGTAAACTCAAGGTGTCACCCCAATCCCCCCGATTGATTTCGGCTTGTCAAAATAAATCGACAGTATAAAATGGCAAGCACAAAAACAAATCAATTGAAGGTAAGGAGGTAAATGTATTTAAGAACCATAACAGGGTTATGTTGTAGTTATTTTTACATTAAATTTAATTTATGTAAAATTTTCCTTTCATGGTCTTCAAAACTGCACACCAGTCAATCACTAGATCAAAATCAATATCCTTCATCGTATCATTTTTTATTTATTGTTAGAGCCAGATCAAAACATATCTGCTACTTCCTTGATTGCTGATGATCTGATCTGGAGTTCATAATGAAAGTGATCATTACACTCCAGCATCTCTCTACTGTAGCTATTATCTGTTCTCCTGCCATTCTCTTCTAAAACCTTAATCTTCTCTCTACCGAGATGCCAAATTGCTCTGATTTGAAAAGTGTCTTTTCAATAGCATGTCCGATGCTTCTCGTGCAGAAACAATCTTAAGACCACTAGGTTGGTCACCACTTCGTCAAGAGTAAAGCCTTTAGTCTGCAGATACTGCTGTGTAAGATTAACTTCCTCAAGTAAATCATCTCAAAGGTAAAGGTAGCAGAAAACGTTAAATCACAGACAGCATGTAAAGGACCTTGTGCTGTATTACAATCACACTCAAATGTTAAGGGCCAGTGCTAGTGGCCAATCGGTGATATTTATTTTTGAGTATTTCTGGGTTTCAAAAACCACAATTTTTTTCTTTTACTTTAAAATTAATTATTAAAAGATAGAAAATTTTGTAAAATATTATTTAGTTAACTCTATAAATGGGTAAAAAGTCATATTTTAATGTTTTTAATTTTTACTGATTCGATTCCTGTACTAATAATTGCCTGACCACAGGTATTTGGTATTAATAGAAAGCTTTATTTCTCAGAATTTAGATAAAAATAGCTTCCTGTCACAAAAGTTACAGAAAACTTCAATCAGCGTTGAATCATGGTCAAAACAGTGTTTATCTGACCTAATTACAGGGTCATCTTATTTTCGAGGCATCAACCTCGAACTTTTAATAAAGCACGCAGGTGGATTGGTTACGTGTGTGGAAAATTTACATGTTATTCGTTATCATTTTATGAAATTTGGTTAGACCAAGCAGTGTGTGCTCTGTAAATATGCAATTTTTCAATTTGATGTCACCCAGTGCGGTCCACACACCCGCACCCCCCTAGCTACGTCACTGGCTAGTTATATACAGTTAAATGTCTGTCTCTTTAATAACATTTACTATACATGTATATTTTTGGATATGGTCTTTTTTCATTCACTTTTTCAGCTTTTACCATACTCTTAGAGCAAATTAAAAGCTACAGTTCTCAAGACCTGATTTCCTTGGTTTTGTAAACTATTTTAAAACTGTCAGCCACCACCATTGGGTCACATATAACAGAAATGAAAAAAGTTTGTATATTTTAAGACCACATTTTTGTTTAGGATCAAAGTCTAAGTACCAGTAAGTCATATTTTTTTTCTCCAAATTTTAAGTTAACAAATTTTATAGATAAACTCAGAAAATATGTGCCAAATATCAGCTTTTTTAAAATAACTACTTTTCTTGATAAATTCAGAAAATCTTTTCAAAATATCAGATTTCCTTCAAGTAATTTCATTCAAAATTCCAAATACATGAAATTTGGTGATGTATTATACATTATGGCTCAAATAGTTTTGTCCTTTTCTTTCATGTAGGATATCTTGTATGTTTAGTAGACTTAGTTTATTTAAAGATTATTATAATTGTACTAACCAGTCTAAAAAAAATTCAATGCGTCCAACATTTGGTTTGTTAGGATCAACAGGAACTAGCTGTACTTTAACACCCACTAAAATGTCTGTACTTGCCTGTCAAAGAAAGTATAATAATTACAAAATAAATAATTAAATTCCAGTTCTATTCGGAGGAATTTGGTAAATCTATTATGATATATGTATACAACTATTAAATACATTATAAGTTTTAAAACACTGACCAAACGAACTCTAGCTGATCCATTTGTGTTGGATATAAGTCCTGTTTCCACCTCCATGTGACGAAAATCTTCACATCCTCTACCATCTTCCCTGAAATTATCCTGAGGAATTTAATTTATATCAACTTTAATCAAAATTAATCATCAGAAGGGAAAAAAAACAAAACCAAAGTCTAACTTATATTTGAAGTGTTGTAAATGTTAGATAAGAAGTTATTTACTAAATTTGCATCTGAAAAATTTTGAAAAGTAATGCGCACAAAGCTGAAAACACTTGTAAATGAAATGAAAAAAACATTACTAAAACTAATTGCAAAATAAAGACTAACTTTGAGTGCCAGCTTCATCAGTTTTTGTCTTAATTTAAATACCTTCAAACTAAAAGTAAAGTACCTTAAGACGAAAATGGTCACCATACTCAGAGCACTGATAATACCAATATTTAATATACAATTTAAGTACAGACGATCATCATCATCATCAGTGGCGCTACAGCCCATGTAGGGCCCTGGCCTGCTCCACCACATCCTTCTATTCGGAATGATCCATGGCTTTCCACCTCCATGTGCTAACCCCCATCTGGTGTAAATCCTTCTCTACATCGTCGATCCTCTCATGAGGAGCTAATGATCTTCTATCAAGCACCTCAGCAGGTGGCAGATAGGGGAAAGCCCACCAGATATGGCGAGTACCGGGGAAATAAAATACCCAGATGGATCAAAATCAGTACCTACTGCCTTGTAGGAAGTGGAAGGATCCACACAGGCTAGGGACTTGACCCAATGCAAAGGCAGCTACCCTGATAGCTGCAAGGGGCATCCCCCCAGAGGATTGTGTGCAGGGTTGACGACCCTGTCACATAAACCAGCAAATGTTACGAAAGCTGAATCATATACAAAAAAACGGACTGATAATGGAACATGTCTTATAGACTTCGCTAAAGGAATGACAACCAGTAGCACAATATCCCAACACAAACAAATACATAAAGCGACATGGATATCTCCCGATGGATTGACCCGTAATCAAATTGACTACGTACTCATTGATCGGAGGCATAGCGGAGGCATAGCTTGGACATATTAGATGTACAAAGCTGTAGATGGGCAGACATAGACTCAGACCACATACTTTTAAGAATCAAATATAATCAAAGAAATTCTAACATCCACAATTAACTAAACAAAACAAAAAAGAAATACAGTACAACAGCCAGAAATTAAGCAGAGACCCAAAAATTACTGAGGAATGTCAATAGAAGATTGAAACTCAACTAGAATTATCCAAAAGGGAATCAGCTTGCAACGTTGATTTAAACCAGCAATGGGAAAAGATGAAGTAAATAGTAAAAAGTGAAACAGAGGAAACGATTGGATTTAAGCGATTGGAAAAGAGCAGGATGGTATGACGCAGAATGCAAAGAACTTATAGAACAAAGAAAAAAGGCTCGGCTAATAATGCAGCAAAGGGAGACGAGAAGAACACGGCAATTATTTAATGAAACAAGAAGGGTGGCTAGAAAAATTTGATTTATCTCAGCCTTGGGCGACTGGTGAGTCGTCTGCCCCTAGGTTTCTGTTGTAAATCACTTTTGCTGCTCTATGTTCCAGCATATTTTCAATATGTCCTGCCCAGGGCAGTCTGCCTTTTTTTATTGTTGCAACTGTGGGTGGATCTTTGTACAAATGGTATAGCTCTTGGTTTGTGCGGACGCTCCAGACAGCATTTTCTATCCCTAAGCCGTATATTTTTCTGAGGATTTTCCTCTCCCATGTATTGAGAAAGTTAGTAAGGGTCTAAGTCTCACTAGCGTAAGTTACTACTGGTCTTATGATAGTGGTGTAAAGTACAGACTATAATATGTTATAAGTGATACAAAATGAGAAAAAAAAGAAATCCACCTGGCCTAAACAGCTAATACAACTAAACTTATACTGACCTACATTTACCTGGTATCCTATGCCTATAGTCAAAAGATCTAAATTATTACAAAATTTGACATAAAAAAAAAAATGTGATAAACAAAGTGGTGGGTCAACAAGAATTTGGGTAAAATAGGGCTGGTTCACTGAAAAGTCTTGAATAACCAATATTCTCTCTTACATTTAATCTCTGGCTGAATACTAGTGACTAGCATTTAACTACCACTCTAATTTCTTTATTGGACATAATTTTTACTTTTTGTATAATCAATGTATATGTATATAGTATATTTTTCTTCCAATGGTGCAATGAAATAAATATTGAATACTTAAAAAAAAAATAAAAAAGCAAATGCATGAGTATAAGCAAAAATAACCTACGTAATGGTATTTATTTATTGGCAGTGTCTACACGTCCGGCGCGCCAGACGTCTATCTCCCGCACTATTTGTCCGGCGACCAAGTCACATGACCGCCGTAACAAAGTGGCGAGAGATATCTTGTCGGTCAGCCTTGTCACGTGACTGCGAATAATTCAAAACTATTGTTAATTTTAAAAACTATTTCTCTACCAAGTAATGTACTGAGTATCTTGAATGCAAATAATAGAAAAAAACTTAAGTGAAAGTGGCTTGTAAACATTTTTGTTTAGTTTGTTATTTGAGTTTGTGCACCAGTAATCCATAAAATAAATTAGGGGCCAGTGTGGAGTAGGCAACCAATAAAAGTAAAAGATTTCATTTTAAATTGTTACAAAATATTTAAAAACTTCTCATGAAACTACTGTTGCTGATGAACATGATAATATAAATATAGTATAAAATATTTTACATTAAAATTGGAGAAAAAAGAAAAACGATCCTATCCCTGATATTGATCCTCAAATCATAATATCGTCAAGCGACCACTCTACCACTACACCACACAAGATCTGCCAAACTGTACTTCGTTCGGAATTATAAAAACTACTAGCCGTCTGGCGGTATGTCACGTGACATACCGCCGGACGTATATCTTGCGCACTATTTGTCAGGCGCGCCGGACGTGGAGACACTTCGTTATTTATTTAGGCATTTTTATATAGCGCTTACCTTAAAGCTCTAAGCGCTTTACAATTATTAAAAACATGTAAACTAACTAAAATAAAAATGAGACATTAGGATAGTAACTACTATACTATAGAAACAATTAAAATGGCTATAAAACGAGGTCACTTTGGCACATTTTGGCCTATACTTCAGGATTAACCCGAGACAGAAAATGAGGTATGCGCTCTCTACAGAAGAGGAACGAAAAGAGTTAAAGTTTAAGTTAAAAAATTAAAAAATTTAGTCTAAAACCTACTTAAACTTTTTACTAATCACTAGTCTAGGCCTAGGCTTAGTAATTTTTGGTTTAACATAATAATTATACAATTATTTAGAAAGCAAAAATTGAAACTCGGCTTACTTGCATGCTGTGTAATATAAATGTTTTTTCTGCTTCACTAAGATCAACATCAGTCATTTTAAATGTTGATTTTATGTACGATAATCCTTTTTAAATGTTTCTCTCGTCAACATACAATACAGCCAATGCAGTTTTATAACTGTAAGTAACAGGAAGAGTGAACTACGTCATCAATATTTGTTAACTAGATAAAGTTGATTTTAAATCAAAAGAGCTCTTTATAAAAAAAAACAAAAAAAAACTGGCTGGCACTACGCACACCGCGGCGGTGTATCTAGTAGAACCATGGTATTTGGCCTGCGTAAACAGCGGCGGTTTACCTAGCAAAACCATGGGCTGTGGCCTGCTTACTCCGCAGCGGTAATACGCAGCAAAACCATGATCTTTGAGTCTTTAGTTTTAACTCACTAGCCTGACCAATACTATAAAATTAATGTGCTGGGTGGCCGAGTGGTCTAAACTGAGCCAATCTCAAGTTCGTGGCATGGAGCCCAATGCACCAAAGCCCAGTCAAGCTAATACATCACCATCACCCCGGGTGTATGGCAAGTCATCTAAGATACCATTGGCACAATGATATTACCTTGGCTTATCCAGTGGCGTAGAGAGAGGCGATTTGCTGTGTAGGGAACCTGCTTATATAATCTTAAAAAGAATAATCCCAGGCTTTGTGGATTTCGTCCTGCGTCACGGAAATGACGTATATATAACTGTTTCAAGGGTTGTTATGAAGATAATCAGGTACGTCATTTAGATGGAGCATTCTTGAATTTGCAGGTTTTATTTAACTTGCTATGTACTGTGGTGCCTCCAGTAATATACAACTTAACAAGCCGACCAAGTTTTGGTTATGCCCCCCCCCCCCTAAAAAAACTGAAATGACGCCCCTGAATATAATGGCTCATTTCCTTTGAAAACAGAAATGACGCCCCTGAAGATAATTTCCTTTACATTTGAGTCGACCCAGTTTTGGTTATGCCCCCCCCCCCCCTAAAAAAACTGAAATGACGCCCCTGAATATAATGGCTCATTTCCTTTGAAAACAGAAATGACGCCCCTGAAGATAATTTCCTTTACATTTGAGGCAAAGTACTTGTAATTAGTATAATTTCTTAGTATTTTTAAGGCCTTATCAGACTGCTTTACAAGTAAATGGTAATTAAGGGAAGAGACTGCAATTTTACAATTAGTGTGACCAGCACAAACACACCCAGCCAGGTGAATTAGGAAAACAAGCTTTGCCAGACTTATGGAACCTTGAAACCACATGACATGAGCGTCATGCTTTCGTTCACATGTTGAGCCTTTGTCTCACCCCTCCACGTCACGACCAATCACAGTGGGCTTACTTCTTCTCTTTTCTTTCCCTTTTAGCTTGTATTTAATCTCTCACCTACTCATTTTCTGTCACAATCCTTTTGCCGCCCTCTCAGATACTACTTTACAGCTAAGTGCTATTTTTAATTTAATTCTGTTTTTTCTGTTGTTTGTTTGCTGATGGAGGCTTCATGCCGACACGTTCGTTGCTTTGTTGCGTTCCTTTTTCAGGTTTTCACATACTTTGTTTTACTAATTTCCTTTTTCATACGTAAAACGCATTTTATATTCTAATTTGTGGCGTACCTCCAGTAGGAGGCAATTTGAAGATTAAGAGGTCATAGAATATTATCTGGGACAGTGGTAGAGTTTTGCTCGGTACACCGCCCCGGTGTACGCAGCCACTTCGAAAAAAAACAACAAAAACAAGTAAACAAAACCCATACAAAATTAGGAGCTAGGTATCATCTACTCACCAATGTGATTAAAGAATTCTTCCCAAATAAAAATAAAAATTTAATCCTATATTAGCAGTCGTTTCAATATGTCTGAAAACGATTATCAAGAAATGTATGACTTGGCTCTTGATTTAGCGAAGCAAGCAGGGCAGGTTTGTACCTCGACCTCAGTCATACTCATCACAATCATACTCGTCTTTGTGTATATTCATAATTCTTGACTCAATAACTCTTCATTAGAACTTCATATCGTAATTCATAGTTAGTTAGTCATTATTCATTGTATAATTTTGACTTTGATACTTTAATAAGGTAGTGCCTAGTTAATACTAGTTATTATGACACTGAACTGATGATGCTTGAACTTGAAGTCATCATTCAGTGATAATCATCATTGTGATTGAATCATGATTCATGTCATCATGATCATAATGATGAATGGATTTTAAGGAATTAATGAAGATAACCATTAAAATCCATATATATACATAATCTTCATAACTTAAACCACACATTAGTTATATATTAAATCTGCAGTACTCAAGATGAGCTCATTATCATTAATATTCAAAATGGCCAACAAATTTCCATATATATGTTATGTCATAATGCATATGAACACAACATGAACAATATTCTCCAAATGTAAAATATTAATATTATTGGAGAGACTTGAGTCTATTTTTGCATAGAGGTTTCTTTCAATTCTATTTTTTTTTTGCTAAATGTAGCATTAGTTTTTCATAGAAGCCCTACAATTAAAAAAGACTGTGCTGCTTCAACAACTATTGCCTACAAGTTGCAAATATGATTAACTTTATGAAGTCATTTGATAGGCCTTTAAATAAAATAAAACAAAGTAATTTTTAGTGGGAAGTATTTAAAAATACCAATTCATCGAAACACTAAACACATTTTAATTTGAAATTTAGTACTAAGATAAAACAAATTTTTCTTCATATTTACAAGCTACACATGTTTCAGGTAGTTAAGGCAAAACTCCAAAATAAGTCTATTATATAACAGTTGAAGTTTCACTATTTTAATAAAGAAATACAATTAAATATCTATTTACACGACACATTACTCAATAATATTTACCTCAAATATCTTAAAATAGTGCTTTTAACATTGTTGTTAATAAAATTACTGAAGATTGAAAAATGATTTGCTGAGGTGGACAGGAGCAAATTTCTATCCATCCAACCCTGTGATGCTACAGCCCATGCACGGTTTTGGCCTGCCTCACCAATTCCTTCTACTCAGACCCAACTAATGCTTTTCTTTTCCAAGCTTGGATTGCCACCTGCTGTTGACCTTTTTCCACATCATCCATCCACCTAAGCCTAGATCTGAATTTGAGCCATTTTCCTCAGGGGTTTTGGTGATGCACCCTCTTGACTCCTCTGACATTTGGCATTCTCTCAAATTGTCCTGCCCAGTGTAGTCTACACTTTTTTATTTCTGCTATCCTCGTGGAATTCTGATATAGTCTGTACATTCCTGGTTGGTTCATATTCTCCAACCATATTCATCCTTTGTTGATCCATATATTTTCCTGAGAGCTTTTCTCTCTCCCATATATTTAATAGGTTTTCTGCCATTTTTGTTAGGATCCTAGTTTCACTTGTGTATGTTACAACTGGTCTAATCATAGTTTTCTAAATCATTTTCTTCGTTTCTCTTGTAATGTTTTTACTTTTGAGTATTTTCTGACTACTGAAGTATGCCCTGTTTCAGGCTGATATTCTTTCTTTCATTTCTGTTAGTAATCCATTACTTTCATTTAATGAAGATCCTAGGTATTGGAATTGATTTACTTTTCCAAAGTCTGGTTTCTAATTTTAATGGCTTCATCTGTCTGTTCTTCTCTTATAATAGTCATGTATTTTGTTTTTTGGTTATTAACTTCTAGCCCTGCTTTTAGTGATGTGTAGTAGTTTCCTCTGTAGTTTGTGCACTGAAGTTAGGAGCCTCTTGTGTATTGGGGTTAGTAATGCTGTTTCTCATTCTGTTGGAATTTTCTTTTCTTGCCAAATTTAAGTTACAAGTTTATGTATCTGAGTGTGTGGTTCTCTTCCTCCATATTTAAGAAATTCTGCTATGATGAGGTCTTCTTCAGGGCCTTTGTGTTTTTTCATATTGTTGATTACTTCTGTAGTTTCTTCTAGAGTTGGTGAGCTTATTAAAGGGGTCTAATCCTCCATGTGGTAGTTGATAATCTTCATCTTGTCTATTGTCTGCATTTAGTATGTCTCAAAATATTCAGCCCACCTTATCAATTGTACAAAGACCCACCCATAGTGTTATGCACTGAATGTATTGGGAGAAATTAATCTCTTATTTTAATTTTCATTTGGCTCGTTGTAAACAGTGCCTGGCAAAGGACGATACCATAGAGTCAACAATATTAAAGATACGACACCCATAACAGTTTCTAGTTACAATTAATAAGATTTATTAAGTCTTAAGATAATTACAAAAGAAAAGAAAATATAATGGCATCAACACGACAGATCAAAAGACCACGCCACACCCATCTGTGAACACAGCGTCTCATGCGGGATCAATCAGTGCACGCACGAGAAAAATTATGTAAACAAGCTCTTTATAACACATAGTCACAACAATAAAAAAAAAAAAGACAGATTGCGCTGGACATGACATATTGAAAGGATGCCGAATCGGAGAGCAGCGAAAGTGAATACAGACAGAAACCTAGGGGCAGATGGCTCATCAGTCGACCAAGACTGAGATGGATGGACGATGTAGAGAAGGACTTATACCAGTTGGGGGTTCGCGCATGGAGGCGGAAAGCCATGGATTGATCCAAATGGAAGGATGTGGTGAAGCAGGCCAAGGCCCTTGATTGGCTGTAGCGCCACTGATGATGATGATCTCTAGTACTTAACTATTTTCCGTAATTAATTATCCGATCTCGCTCCCACACTTTTTGCGGTCTGGTTTGGTAACCATTCTTTTCATATTTTATCTTCAGGTACATTCCTCTGATATTTCCCTCTCTTGAAAAGTTTTCTATTTTTTCTAGCTTAGCTTTTTCCCCGTCCCTCTTTTTCTTCGTACACATTTTAGTTACTTTCCTTCTGGCTTCCATGTATGTTTGTGTTGTCTTTCTGGTTTCCCTTTGTTTGATGGTCATTTGTGCTTTGTTCCATTTTTTGACAGTCTCTCTGCATTCATTATCAAACCAGCCTGTTTATTTCTTTACTGTGAGTGCTACAATAAAAGTGTGTTGTAATAACAGGACTTCAAATTTTTCATTGTGGAGATGAGGAACGCCAGTGAGCCCTGTGTGGAGGGAGCCCCCAAATATTGAAATAGGAATAATACAGGTATTACAACAGGACAGTGTATTCACTAAAACCCACATCAGTTTCAACTGACATCCCTTTTCCTAAAGCAAAGTCTAAGAGTCAGATCCCATCATCATTGGATTCTTCATGCAGACTTTCCTTGCCAATAGTTGGTTTGAACACTTTTTCTTATTTTGGCATTTAAGTCGCAAATCACTATTTTAATATCATGTCGTGGTGCCTCTTCGTAGAGCTTTTCCATTGTCTAATAAAAGGATTTTTTTTCCTGACCTTTCGTATCTTTCATGGGAGCATGAACATTTATAAATGTTATATTAAACATTTTTCCTCACACACGCAAAGAGCACAATCTTTCATTCTCTGGTTTCAAACCTATGACTGCACTGACTGCTCCTTTTTTCACGACAAATCCTGTTCCTAGAGTGTTCATCCTGTTCCTAGAGTGTTCATCCTGTTCTTAGAGTGTTCGTGTTGTTGCCACTATAAAAGGTGGTGTAGTCTTTTGTTTTGAGTATGTCTGCATTTTCCCATCAAATTTTTTGCAATGCAGAAATAGATAGTTTATATTCAATCAGTTGATTTACAGGGTTAGCTCAGGCTCCTGCTCTAAACAGGCTTAGTACATTCCAAGTCGCAATCCAAAAGTCATGTCCATATCCAGACATAGGTCAATTTCCATTAGTACTCTTCCCGGTTTTATTCCGATGGTTGGCTTTCATAAGATTTATTTTTGTACATGGCTGGGGGGGCTGCCCCTTATAGCTCTCTAGGTAGCTGTCTTAATTTTAGGTTAAGGCTCCCAGCCTTTGTGGATCCCTCCACTTCCTACAAGGTAGGAGGTTCTGATTTTGGTCCGCCCCTGGTATTTTTTTTCCCTGGTACCCTCCATATCTGGTGGGTTTTCCCCTATCCCTAAGGGAGGCGCTCGATGGAAGATCAGTATCTCTGCACGAGAGGAGCAAATTTCTGCAATCTTGAAAATGGTATCCAGGTAGAAATACCCATGTGGTGACTGTTTTGAAAATTTATTAAAATTGTTGGGTAGGTTGGGGGGGGATTTTTATTTGCCCATTCTTGTAGATAAATGGATGCTTTAAACAGTGGTTATAATGAACCTTGCGACTGGTGGAGAATGTATGAGAAATTAAATAGCATCTATAGATCAATTTTGACAAAAGTTTTGTTGCCCTTAAATTTGGAATCCTCTAGGGCAGGTCTGCACGACTCAAAATGTAAGGCGGGCCGTAATACTTTATGAAAAACTTGTGTGGGCCGAAAGAAAATAGGACGGGAAAAGCTATTAAGAAAATAATAATAATAAAGAATATTCCGTTACTTCACTGGCCGCAAAGTGGGTGCTGGCGGGCTGGATGCAGCCCACGGTCCGTATGTTGTGCAGGTCTGGTCTAGGGGGGTCCTGTCCAGTGCAGCCTGACTTTTTTAACTGACTGATGTCCCTGCTCAAAGGTGTGGTTATTTGACTGAGAGCCTGTAAAAATTTGGAACTCCCTTGAATACTCTTTCTGTACTTTTATGCAACTTGTATATAGCGGGTAGGTTTGTTGGACGCATGAAGTTCTTGTGGAGCGTCATAAAGATATCTCCTGTCTACGCTATCATAAGTTGTTTTGTAGTCTATGTAAAGTTTGTATATGAGGATGTTGTATTCATATCATTTGTCACGTTGTGGAGCATCATCAAGAAATCTCCTGACTACGCTATCATAAGTTGTTTTGTAGTGTATGTAAAGTTTGTATATGAGGATGTTGTATTCATATCATTTGTCACATTCAGATTACGTGCTGTAATAAAATCATTAGCGAACTCAGTCACAGAGACGTGAGAACTATAAGAGGTGTGACAACTATCAGAGGCGTGACAACTATCAGAGGTGTGTACCTTTGTGAGCCAGCATTAGAGTTCCTTAAATTAGATGAGAGAGATGAGTTAATATTTTTTTTTGGTCATAAGAGTGAAATTACAATTATATTTTTCATAGGCAGTTAAAAGATTATTTTATAATTGATGTGTTGAATTTTTTTTGGGCACTTGTTTAAGTCTGAATGCCAGTAAATATTGTTGTATGCAAAATGTATTGCACTCTTAGCTTTATAAATAAAAACACTTGAATTTTTAAAGCATCTCATGGTTATTTTGACTTCTTTCTATACTTCAGCCTTGTACTTGTAGAGGCCATGAACAAGAAATGGAGTACTATTCTCTGACATTGTTTTCTGTGGCCATACGAAGGGGATCTTCCCCTAGACAACATATTATGCACCAAAGCATTTCTCAAGGCGACATCTGATAGTAAATTTATCTATTCTGTTTGAATCCACATAGTTAGCTACCTATGATCTGTTCAAAATATTTGTCCAGTTGACTTGCAATTAGCTGAGTGAGGATTTTGTAGGTTTCATTAAGTAGGGAGATTTCTCTAAAATATGAACAATCCAGTTTCGATCCTTTCTTTTGAATTGGGATTAAGAGCACAATACCTCATTCATTTGACATTTCTTCCTCCTGCCTAATTCTGGATATGAGGTCTTCTATTTGTTCAGGTAGTTCGTTTCCATATAGTTTTATCATTTCTGCAGTGATAAGGACTTTTCCTGTTGCTTTATTATTTTTCATGGCAAAGTCCACATCTTCTGTTTTTTCTCTATTATTTTTTTGTATTCTTCGTTTATATTTAATTTTTAAAAGGAAATGGTCCGACTACATCTGACTCTTAAAGCTTCGTACATCTGATATGTCTTACCCATGTCTCCGATCAATGAGTATGTTATCTATTTTATTTTGGGTAAATCAATCAGATGATACCCATGTCGCTTTATGTATCTGTTTGTATTGGAATATTGAGCTTCTGACTGTCATTCCTTTTCATGTAGCGAAGTCTTTTACTTGCTCTGATGTCATTGCTCTTGTCATGCAGACTTTCTTTTCCAATTGTTGGCCTATAAGCATGTTTTTTTCCAATTTTTGCGTTGAAATCTCCAAGAAATATTTTGGTATCATGGCAGGGTACCTCATCAAATGCCTTAAAGAAAGTGTCATAAAAACTGTCATCTGCATCTTCAATGGGGCATATGCACAAACTAAAGCAATGTTAAACATAATTCTTAGTATCATCATGGAGCATATTTTTTCAATCACAAGTTTGAACCTAAAGACTGCGCTCACTGTCTGTCTTTTGACTGCAAACCCTGTTCCTAAGGTTTTTATGTTGCTTCCACTGCAGCACTGCATTAGTGGTTAGTGTATCAGAGTCTTTCCGTCTAATGTCCTGCAGTGCAACAGCAGGGATTCTATTTGAACCAGTACTCCTGCACTGTGTAGACTCAGTACATTCTAGGGCGCAATCTATAAACCAGTTCCTTGTCCAGGCATAGGTGGACATCCATTAATATCCATCAGATTTTCCATTGTAGCTTCGTAACCATTTTCTTTCCTTGTGATAGGAGGGGGGGGGGGGATGCCCCTGACAGATCTCAGTGTAGCTGACTTTGTTTTGGGTCAGGTACTTTGCCTTTGTAAAACCCTTTACTAAGTTCAAGGAAGCAGTTTTCAGATTTTCCATTGTAGCTTCGTAACCATTTTCTTTCCTTGTGGTAGGAGGGGGGGGGGGGGATGCCCCTGACAGATCTCAGTGTAGCTGACTTTGTTTTGGGTCAGGTACTTTGCCTTTGTAAAACCCTTTACTAAGTTCAAGGAAGCAGTTGCTTACTTGGGTCTGCCCTGAGTATTTTATTTCTGGTGGGTGATCCCCTATCCACCACCTTGCGAGGTGCCAGATGGGAGATCAGCCACTCCATAGGAGTGTCATCATGACTTAGTTTAGCATTTTTTTTAGGCCTCATTTAGACTTAATTTAGTAATTTTGGCATAGTGTTATGCTATTATAGTTTTGGTTATTGTGCCTCTCAATAAAGTTTACAATATTAAATATTGTTTAGGAGAAACAGTGAAATGAGGTTATATCTGTCCACCTAAAAATTGAGAAAGCCACCTTTTTTTTTATACAAAGAGCGGATGATTTCAATATTGAAAATTAATCTTACTTTAGAATCAGTTGGAGTTCAAAACATTGTTGAATGATGGATGCTTAGCTTCTGAGTGACAGAAATTATGTTATTTTAATTTTATTAATTTATTATTTGTTTCAAAAGATATACTGCAGTCTAAAATAAATTTAGTTTTTAATTTGAGTAACCCTGGATTATAATTTTAGATGATTAAAGATGCGTTTGATAAGGAAAAACTTGTTGACACCAAGCTAAGTGCAGCAGATCTTGTTACTGAAACAGATCAGGCAGTTGAGAAACTTGTGAAAATCCTCATCAAAGCAAAGTTTCCTAATCACAAGTAAGTACCAGTATTTAACACTTCCTTGAAAATGGTTTTAATTTTTTATCATGTAATGAGATTTTTTTGTGAGAGGTTTTTAACTTTTTGACTAATGCATTGGCTTTATGTTTTTTCATATTATTCCTATGAGCTGAATGTACAGCTCTCAATTTATTTATAATTTTTGTGAAAATCCAAAGTGATGTAGAGATTTGGTTTAATCTTGACTTTTTTAGATCATCCAATTTGCTGTGTGTTAAAATAAACAGTCTCATGATTGCAGCCAGATTTTGTATATTTTGATGATATTTTTTTGAGTGTGTAGTTGCTGATTTCTTATACCATTGAGCCAAGAGGAGCACGCCACCATTAGAAATTTATTGCTAGTCACTATTAGTAAAGCATCTAGACTCTAGAATTAATTCAATCACTGAAATATTATGAAACAAATAGGATTCTTACATCTAATGCATCTGAGGAAGAAAAATGTGGCAGCCACATGTTCAAAATTTATGTGACACATGTTTTATCAGGGCTAGAGCTGCTAAATATGAACATTCAAATTAAATACAGATATTGCATTTGCAACTTTTGTTGCCTTATGCCTGAAAGATATTTTCATGTTCTTCATTGAAATATCGCATCATCATAACTAATGAACAAAAACATCTTGAATCCACGATTCATAATTTTATTTTTAGTAAAGTATGCTTTTTGAATGGAAAATTCCTGGTTATACACATTTCTCTGGATGAAATGGCCATTTTACAGTGTTGGAAAAAAAGAGCAGAATTTCTGACAAAAACATTGCCAGGGCTTAGTTTCTTAACAAAAGTGCATGCTTCGAGAAGGGTAGATCTTTCACATATTTATTTAATGTTGATATATATTATAGGGAATAAGTATACCAACGTGGATCACTATGTCTACACTTAATGGAAATCATTATGTCAATGTCAAATGTGTGTGGTATTCATTTCATGGCATACCTTGCTAACAACATTGTATCCTGGTAATTTATCTTGTAATGTTAAAGCAACTTACTTATTACTAATATTCCTACAATCATATATGATGATGATGAACATTGGACATTAATATTTTTTGAAATGTTAATACCCGAAAAGGAAAACAATAAAAGGAAAACAATACACAACGCTAGAGTGCTGGCTAAATCCAGTTCACTTATAAGACCCCTCGACATATAATACCAAGACTGAATATGGATATGAAAATACATGCACCCAAACTATTGACAGGTGACATAAAATGCGAGTCTGAAATCTTTGATAAAACACCACATTTGTTACACCGATGTCATATATCATAAGTAGGTTGATTATGTGGTTTGCACAATAGTCCACAATAATTTTTGTTACAGTTTAAAGAAAACAAAAAAATTTAACTTTAAATCCTTCCAATTCAACTACTTTCTTTTGGTCCAGGTAAAATAAAATATAGGAATCCTCTTTTTTATTTTCATAAAGATTCATCGGAGAAGAGAGCACATCAGAAACGGGGGAGAAATGTGAGTTTACGAATGATCCTACGTGGATAATTGACCCAGTGGATGGGACCACAAACTTTGTACATAGGTAACATACTTTAAAAAAAAAAAAAAACTTTAAAAAAGAATAAAAAAAATATGTATCATGTACCTTAAAGTCTAAACACTCTTAAATGCTTAGCATTAAAGGAACACCCCAAGGAACACAGTAGGGTCAAGTACATTGGCTGCCTGTAGTGGAGTGAAATGTGAGTTTACGAATGATCCTACGGGGAAAATTGACCCAGTGGATGGGACCACAAACTTTGTACATAGGAAAAATATTTTAAAAAAAAAAAAAACTTTAAAAAAGAATAAAAAAAATATGTATCATGTACCTTAAAGTCTAAACACTCTTTAATGCTTAGCATTAAAGGAACACCCCAAGGAACACAGTAGGGTCAAGTACATTGGCTGCCTGTAGTGGAGAAAATTACAAAAAACAACATCATTGAGATGCTGGTTATAATAATGTAATATTTAATTAGTAGGGTGTAGCAAAAGTTAATATATGTTTGAAGTTTTAAATTTTTTTTTTTTTTACTTATTCATCCCTCTATACTGTTATAATCTTTCTTTCCTAGCATCCCAGAAGTTTCATTTTCATTAGGTGTCACTGTTAACAAAATTGTGAGTACAACCTTTTCATTTTATTTATAAAAATTATTCATGAGAATTTCAGTTTGGACAGAACTAATTTTATTTGAATTTTTTATGGTGTTTTTGAATATTTTAAAACTAGAAGATCCTAGAAGTTTCAAAAGGGATTTATAAAATCATAATTTTATCAGAGCTTTCATAAGTTTAATCATTAAAATTAAAATATAATAATTTATCTGTTCTTTTATTTACTGAACTTGATGAGACGCTAGAAAAAAAAAGCTCTTTCACATTTACATGGAATGATATCAGCTTAATTTTAATCTCAAGCAATAAACCAAAGTTTGATATGGAATTGTACTGAAAAGTTAAGGCTTATTTGATGCAGTACATAATTTAGTTTTTACTTCTAATTTCAAGCCTGTAATTGGGGTGGTGTACATCCCAATGAAGGAAGAATTATTTACTGCAAGGCAAGGTCAAGGAGCTTTCTTGAATGGAAGAAAACTTTCAGCAAATGGCACTAAAGGTTAGTTCATGTGTAATCCTTGTCTAGGAATTCCTAGCTAATACTAATACACCTTGTGACATTCAGGAGATATTTCTTTATAAAATTAATTTTTATAAAATTAATTTTATCATTATTTTAAGTAAGTTGCCCATCCCTGTGTTGCTACAGCCCATGTAGGACTTTGCCCTGCCTCACCACATCCTTCTTCTCAGACTCTTTTCCATGCTCGGATTCCCAGCTGCTGTGGATCTTTTTCCACATCATCCATCCATCTAAGCCTAGGTCTGCCTTTGAGCTGTTTTCCTCTCAGGTTTTGGTGGTGCACCCTCTTCACTCCTCTGTCATTTGGCATTCTCTCTAAGTGTCCAGCCCAGCGTAACCTGTCCTTTTTTATCTCTGCTACTTGTGTGGGGTCCTGATATAGTCTATGCAATTCCTAGTTGTTTCATACTCTCCATCCATATTCATCCTTTGTATATATTTAGTAAATCAATACTAAAACTTTAAAAAATCTCACTAACAATTTTTTGGGGTTGATTTCCCCATTTCTTGTTCCATCCAGTATTAAAATTTATAATTTTCCTTCTCACCAGATCTCTCAAAGTCTGTTGTGATAATGGAAGGAGGTAGCTCCAGGGATCCAGGCATTGTAGATGCAAAAATCAAAAACATCCACTCAATGGTCACAAATTCACATGGGTAATTTAAGACAGCATACTTTTAAATGGGCGCCATGCTTCATGATTTATAGTTCAGATACCCTGAAAAAATCCATTTACAGCTATTTTTATTAATGTGTATCAAAGTATTGTGAAAACACATGTGAAACCGTACATTGTTGTAGCAAGCAATCCAGTGAGTTGAAAGGAATACAAGATGACATGATTATGAGCTGAAATAGTCAGAACTGATGGTATAAAAACTGGCAGGCACAATTAATCTAAACAACGCCAACATCAGATAAGACAAGATTCTTTTAGTGATCCAAATAAGAGGAAATGTTTTTTGATTACATAGTTCATCAACAGACAACATTTTACAACAATTTAAATACAAGACTTATAGGTATATCGCTAGCGTAGAAAGCAGCCATCATATAACGGTAACCAAAAAAAAAACTCCCCAAAAAAATACCGGCTTGTTTCTAATGTTATGGAGGGGGCAGCTTAAAAAATGAATGATGTTACAGATCAGGAAGACCTTAGTGAGATTGGAATGTAGAAATATAAACTTATTGTTCAAAGTTTAATTGCAAGTCCTTGTGCTTATAGTTTGTCACAATTTTTAAAATTACAGTGTTCGGGCGTACGGCTCTGCAGCTTTGAACCTTTCTTACATAGCTGCTGGGCGTGGTGATGCATATGTTGAGTATGGTATTCACGTATGGGACTTTATTGCTGGTGCTTTGATAGCTAGAGAAGCAGGAGCAGTGGTCACAGATCCTACAGGTAATTCTTTCAGAAATAATGTAGTTTGCAGATTTTGATGATTAGACTGATCGGTGAGAGGAAGATTTTTGGAGTTTTTCTTGTGGATAAAGACCAATGTTACCTGGTGGCTGCCCGACTTATACTGTTTTTTTTTTAAACAAAAAGAAATTGTTCTTATTTTGAATACAACTATTTGTAAATACTTTTTTTAAAGCTCCTGTCAATTAATTTTAAAAAACTAAAGATAAATGCATCTATATATGGATTACATTAGAAAATATAACGTTAAAGGCCTAAAATGTATGAGCAATGACAAAAACCTCAATTTTTGGCACCTCAGACCAACACATGCCAGATATAAGAGAAAACATCAATTTTGGTAACTGCAGACCAACACGTGCCAGTATAAGAGAAAAAACTCAATGATTGGCACCTCACAAGATCTCATGCCAGCTTTAAGACAAACTGTACTAACATGCAAATACTAGATTAAAAAAGAATTTGGATAAAAAATTTTCTGATTTGAAATCATGCAGAATGTCATCATCTCTGAAGTCTCAGGGGATGCATGATTTTATTGCTACTTTTCGTAGCTCTTAAAAACAATTGGGAAAAGGGGGTGGGGCAAGATACGTTGTATGAAAGCACAAGTGATGTCAGATTTAAGACAAAAACAACAATCAGGTCAGCAAAAAGTGATGCTGGAAAAATGACATCATAAGAAGAGGTGAGGAATAAAATTAAATTATGGGAAGAAATAAAAACAAACTTTGATCTGTACAACTGTGTTGTCAAGGGCAGACAAATCTTAACTCTAAGCCTCTGAATCGAAGCTGCACTGAATATATATTGGAGATGAATTCTGCTTCTGGCAAACACTAAGATGGATCTCTTTATTTATCCCCAGGGTCTGAGCTTGACTACATGCATCGCCGTGTTCTTTGTGCGTGCACGGCAGAGCTGGGCAAGCAGATCTCCTCACTACTGGTGCACTTAGACATGGGTTGGGATTAGCTGAAATGTTTCATGTGACCAGAGCCAAATGATATTTTCTTTTTATTTATTAAATAAGTTTTAATTTTAATTTTTTTTTATTCAGAATTTAAAAAAATAACTTTTGATTATTTAAATCAGATAGTTTGAGATAGACATGGTTATGTTAGTTTGAGATAGACATGGTTATGTTAGTTTGAGATAGACATGGTTATGTTACCTGTTAGCTCAAGATAGAAATGGTTATTTTAGTTTGAGATAGACACGGTTATTTTAGTTTGAGATAGACACGGTTACTTTAGTTTGAGAGAGACATGGTTATGTCACATAGCACATCTTTTCTTTCTGTCTAATTCTTGAACACTGAGAAGCAAATGCATTCTTTCAAATGTTATGTATTTTGTGTAATATTTAGGCACAGCTTGAGGTACTTTGCACCCTGCATTAGCTACAACCCTAGAAGTAGAAATGTGCAGCTTTGTCAGCATAAATTGTTTCATATCACTAAGCCAATGGACAGTGAACAAACTTGGACAGGATCATGCTGCTAGTTTGTTCACAAACTTTGGTTTCTTTGAAATGTTTGTCGTTTTTGCTGAATAGGAATGATCCCTAACCTTCAGTCAGATCTGATCCATGAACATCCTACTACACCATCCAACCAGACAAGGGATTCTTACTCTGTAGTCCATGGACCCTTCGGGGCTCCTCAAAAGGGCTTGTGGGGTGGGAGGGGGGGGGAGAGTGATCAGCAACATATTTTTACAATGTGCATTTCGATACTTTATTATAAGAAGTGGTCCATTGCCTTCACATGACATGCGAGAGGGTTTCTTGGTCTTTATATGAGGGGCAAAAGGGGTTTGTGGACTAAAAAAGGGTTTAGACACCCTGAACTAGACCATCCATGAAAACCTGAACAAAAAAAAAACTTGATGAAATTCATTGATTTCATAGAAGATTTTCTTTCTCCTTTAGTGAAGTCTTTTTTTTTTTTTTTAAATGTTCCGTTTAATAAGGCAGACAGACATCAGTTATAAAGTTAATTTAAAGGAAAAAAATTGGACTACGCTTGTGATTACAATCTGAAATGTTGAAATGAACAAAAGAATAAAATGCATTAGTTGATTTCATAGAAGATTTTCTTTCTCCTTTAGTGAAGTCTTTTTTTTTTTTTTTAAATGTTCCGTTTAATAAGGCAGACAGACATCAGTTATAAAGTTAATTTAAAGGAAAAACATTGGACTACGCTTGTGATTACAATCTGAAATGTTGAAATGAACAAAAGACTGAAATGCATTAGTATAGGATCTATCATTTCACTGTTCTTGCACCAGTTCATGACATATACATATATCATAGGGTTCCTGTTCAACACAACCTTAAATTAATTCTCAAAATTGAACTATGCAATAAAGGCTAGTAAAAAAAACTCGGCTAACACTCAGAATTTTCTTTGGACATTCACTTCATTCTACTATACTGATATCTGTTGGTCATTTGAAAACTGTGATTGGAAGATGGATCCTGCAACCTTTTAATGTAAATATTTGCTTCTTGAGATTTAGATTTAAAAATTTTTTTTTTTTGAAGCATTATTAATAAGCAATAAGTTATTCCATTGCATTAGTGTACTCTCATTTTACTTCATTTGTTTATGTTCCTGGGGATTTTTACATTTTTTGGGTACTATATTGTCATTTTAGCTTTGTGATTTATTACTACTTAGTACAGTATTGTCAATGTGATTTATTATTATTTAAGACAAGATGCTTACTGTAGCTTTGTAAATGTAGGCAGGAATAAAAATAAAAATCCATCTTCAGAATGTTAAATGTAAGCAGCTTGGTTGCATGAAGATATGGAGACGTGTCTTGTATAAGTATAGAAGCTCAAATTGTGTATGTAGTGCTATTTATGAATGAGTCTCTAAGTGGCAGCTTGGTTGCATGAAGATATGGAGACGTGTCTTGTATAAGTATAGAAGCTCAAATTGTGTATGTAGTGCTATTTATGAATGAGTCTCTAAGTGCTTGGTTGCATGGAAATATGGAAGTGTCTTGTATAAGTATAGAAGCTCAAATTGTGTATGTAGTGCTATTTATGAATGAGTCTCTAAGTGGCAGCTTGGTTGCATGAAGATATGGAGACGTGTCTTGTATAAGTATAGAAGCTCAATTTGTGTATGTAGTGCTATTTATGAATGAGTCTCTAAGTGGCAGCTTGGTTGCATGAAGATATGGAGACGTGTCTTGTATAAGTATAGAAGCTCAATTTGTGTATGTAGTGCTATTTATGAATGAGTCTCTAAGTGGCAGCTTGGTTGCATGAAGATATGGAGACGTGTCTTGTATAAGTATAGAAGCTCAATTTGTGTATGTAGTGCTATTTATGAATGAGTCTCTAAGTGGCAGCTTGGTTGCATGAAGATATGGAGACGTGTCTTGTATAAGTATAGAAGCTCAATTTGTGTATGTAGTGCTATTTATGAATGAGTCTCTAAGTGGCAGCTTGGTTGCATGAAGATATGGAGACGTGTCTTGTATAAGTATAGAAGCTCAATTTGTGTATGTAGTGCTATTTATGAATGAGTCTCTAAGTGGCAGCTTGGTTGCATGAAGATATGGAGACGTGTCTTGTATAAGTATAGAAGCTCAATTTGTGTATGTAGTGCTATTTATGAATGAGTCTCTAAGTGGCAGCTTGGTTGCATGAAGATATGGAGACGTGTCTTGTATAAGTATAGAAGCTCAATTTGTGTATGTAGTGCTATTTATGAATGAGTCTCTAAGTGGCAGCTTGGTTGCATGAAGATATGGAAGTGTCTTGCATAAGTATAGAAGCTCAATTTGTGTATGTAGTGCTATTTATGAAGGAGTCTCTAAGTGGCAGCTTGGTTGCATGAAGATATGGAAGTGTCTTGCATAAGTATAGAAGCTCAATTTGTGTATGTAGTGCTATTTATGAATGAGTCTCTAAGTGCTATGTGACGTATCAGTATTTAGTACTCAATATGTGTTAATTCACTACTGCTTAGCTGTACAAGTATAATGCTATGTGAGTCTGAGTTAATAAAACTACTTGCACTAGTATAATGCTATGTAAGTGTGAGCTAATAAGTTCTACTTGCACAAGTATAATGCTTATGTAAGTCCGAGCTTATAAATTCTACGTGTGCAATTAAATGGGGATATTTTAATGAATAAATAAGTTTAAAAAAAGGAAGGCTCAAATAATAAATCAGTTAGTGGACACCAATCTTCCCTCTAAGGTAGTGGACACCAATGTTCCCTCTAAGGTAGTGGACACCAATCTTCCCTCTAAGGTAGTGGACACCAATGTTCCCTTTAAGGTTTGTTGGTTCGTGTGCAGTTGTGTGCAAAGTTTTACAGCATCAATTTCTTTGTGTGCAAAAGTTTTCAGCCCACAAACACAAACTTACATGGAAATTTGCTGTGCCCAGGTTTGGATCTTATATTATGTGCCATTTTTGTGTACAAATAATCTATGTTGCTACGGTAGTGCTTGAATCAAGTGTTATTTTGATGTCATTTTTTCTTGACACAGATCTTTGCAATGCTGGATGAGTGCTGTTTTATTGCAAACCTTAATGATGTTTTATTGCAAACCTTAATGACGTTTTATTGCAAACCTTAATGAAGTATTGAATGTGTTTTCCAGTGATGTGGAGGGGTCTATTTTCTGCATTAACGAGGTTGCCTCCCCTATGGTTCCAAAAGGGCTCGATGTTTTATGTGACTAGAGTAGCCAAACTTGTTGACTAGAAGTCTAGGACTTCTTTAAGGCTAAACACTCAGTCAGTAACCCCCCTGGGTTGAAACGTGGTTATCGCTCATCGGATTGTTTTAAGCTACACAGCAGTGAGGTAGTTTAAAGATACACACCAGTCGGATGGTTTAAATATACACAAAAGTGGGATGGTTTAAATATACACATCATTGGGATGGTTTAAATATACACAACAGTCTGATGGTTTAAATATACACAACAGTCTGATGGTTTAAATATACACATCAGTCGGATGGTTTAAATATACACAACAGTCTGATGGTTTAAATATACACAACAGCCGGATGGTTTAAATATACACAACAGTCTGATGGTTTAAATATACACAACAGTCTGATGGTTTAAATATACACAACAGCCGGATGGTTTAAATATACACAACAGCCGGATGGTTTAAATATACACAACAGTCTGATGGTTTAAATATACACAACAGTCTGATGGTTTAAATATACACAACAGTCAGATGGTTTAAATATACACAACAGCCGGATGGTTTAAATATACACAACAGCCGGATGGTTTAAATATACACAACAGTCAGATGGTTTAAATATACACAACAGTCAGATGGTTTAAATATACACAACAGCCGGATGGTTTAAATATACACAACAGCCGGATGGTTTAAATATACACAACAGCCGGATGGTTTAAGTTTAAATATACACAACAGTCTGATGGTTTAAATATACACAACAGCCGGATGGTTTAAATATACACAACAGTCAGATGGTTTAAATATACACAACAGTCAGATGGTTTAAATATACACAACAGCCGGATGGTTTAAATATACACAACAGCCGGATGGTTTAAATATACACAACAGCCGGATGGTTTAAGTTTAAATATACACAACAGCCGGATGGTTTAAATATACACAACAGTCAGATGGTTTAAATATACACAACATTCTGATGGTTTAAATATACACAACAGTCTGGTGGTTTAAATATACACAACAGTCTGATGGTTTAAATATACACAACAGTCTGATGGTTTAAATATACACAACAGTCTGATGGTTTAAATATACGCAACAGTCTGATGGTTTAAATATACACACCAGTCGGATGAAGCTTAATGGAGGAACGAACATAACAGTAAATTTGTAGGAGGGTAACGATCATTAGTGGACAAAATGCAAATTGTATAGAAATAGTGTATGCCCAATAGTAAATTTAGCTCCCGAATCTTGAACGCTGCTGTCAGTTTGTCGAGGGTGTTTCTAATGGTAACACAGGAGATATGTTGGGCAGCTTTGGGAAATGGGTCTCTTAACAAGGGGGAGGTAGTATCCAGAGTTGACCATCATTTTCGTGTATACTGAAATGGTCGTGAAAGGGGACCGAAATTGCAAAAAAAGTTTGCTTTGCATTTCCGGAAGAGATTTAAAGAACAAAGAACCAATATATCACGGTTATGCTGTCTAATGGTACGAAATTTCGCCGTACTGGAAAGGTACTCAGTGAACGGAACGGTAAGTCTGTTTGACTAGTCGGAGAACCACACATTCCTATACAATACAAATCAGGGTTCTCGTGCAGCGGGGCAAAAAAGTATCCACAACACATCTCCCTGGCTCGCATAACCAGCTCTGTATCCACAACACATCTCACTGGTTCGCATAACTAGGCTCTGTATCCACAACACATCTCACTGGTTCGCATAACTAGGCTCTGTATCCACAACACATCTCACTGGTTCGCATAACTAGGCTCTGTATCCACCTACTTTTCTTAAACAATCGGTGAACTGGCAAATCGCTGATGTTCAGTTTTAAGTATGTCCGTTGTAGACTTTGTAGGGGGTCACAATGCAACATCAGCTGGACGCCATGAGCGTGATTCTCAGGTATTTTGTTTCTTGTTACTTCTTCATGTGTCCTGTCTGCTAAGGAAGGCTGTTGCCCAAACGTTCTTCTTTTACTGTCATGTCTTTCTATTTCAAGCCTCCACAGACCTTGACCTGCTATTTCCTTCACGGAGCTATGAACGCAATCCTCCATTTATTATTCTTTATTTTCATTTATCGAAACACTTACTGGTCGACCTGACCCTCCCCCTTCCGTTGACTCGGTACAGTCGCCAAACGAAGAAATTTCTTTAAAAAAATCACGACTGTGTTTCTCGGTGGTGTGTTACGAAATCTCTTGACAGACGCATGCGCCCGTTGACAGACGCATGCACCCTTTGACAGACACATACACGCGTTGACAGACGCATGCACCCTTTGACAGACACATACACGCGTTGACAGACGCATGCACCGTTGACAGACGCATGCACCGTTGACAGACGCATGTACCGTTGACAGACGCATGCACCGTTGACAGACGCATACACCCGTTGACAGACGCATACACCCGTTGACAGACGCATACACCCGTTGAAGATGCTGGAGGTTTCAGCACGGTGACTTTGGCGCATACTGTATGAAATACTCTCATTCTATTTACTTCACATCTCTGTAGAAAGGTTAGAAGATTGTAATGATATGGTCAGTAAGGATTTGGTCAAACTGGTGGTCAGAGATTCAAACTCGTGAGCCGAAGACCAGCATCCGCCCCCCCCCCCCCTTTTTTTCTGACACATTTAAGTTGATGGTGAAAATACAAAGATTGAAAAGAGCAATTAAAATAATTGAATTAATTGAGACCCCCCCCCCTCCCCCGCCCAATACGTTGGCGCCAGTAAGTCAGAATGAACATTTTGTCAAGCACTGCACTAAGAAACGTCAGTGTTATTATTCTTTCAGTTAATTAACTTTAAAGAATAAATTTTGATCTTTCAACTCACTGTTAAAAGGCTTGTACCGATTTGTAGAACAACCTTAATTTCTATTTTTAATTATCGCTCCTCCGAAGTTTTTAATCTGAACAGTCTAGAGAAGGGGACAATTTCCCTTTATTTATGACATTCTACTTGTTACCTTATTATTTCCCAGTGGGGCAGGAGAAAAAAAAGTGGGGTGGGTGGGGGTGGGCGG